TTAGATGAACAAACATGTTATCTAACTCATTCACATTTGAATTATACTTCATTTGGCAAAATCGACAAAATCCCAATTCATACCTGCAAAGAAACAAAGTACACTTTAACTTAATAAAACTTCAAACAGCCTAATAAGTAATATGTTAGTGATTCACGAACGAGTAGAGTTCAAATTGCGGGTAAATTCTATGACTTACGTTTATTGGTACCATTTTGTAGTTCAGCAATTTAGTACGACAATAATTAAAAAAAAAAAAGAGAAAGAAAGAAATTATTTTGAGTAAAAAAAAATCTAAAGAAAAAAACAGTACGTAAATTCCAGCCCTGCACTATAGTTATTGAAAATATAACATACATCTCATTAGTCATATGTTTAAATCTTTGTAAAAAATTACCCATACGTTACTAACATTACAAACTGGCATTCATTCCTAGCTACAATCTAATAGACAAAAACTCAGTTAGGCATAAAACACAATGACCATCAAGGCAGAAATAGTTTATGAGAGGTTTCTCTCCTACATCTATTTTACAAAAACAATTGGTTTGGTTTGAATTTCGCAGATTGCGAGTCAAGTGGCCTAACCGCCTGGCCATGTCAGGCCATACAAAGACAATTGGTTTTGTTTGAATTTCGTAGATTGCGAGTCAAGCGGTCTAACCGCCTGGCCATGCCGGGCCATACAAAGACAATTGGTTTTGTTTGAATTTCGCAGATTGCAAGTCAAGTGGCCTAACAGCCTGGCCATGCCGGGCCATACAAAGACAATACAGATGCATCTATCTCACAAAATGTCATCCATCAAAAAAAAAGCAAAATATAAATGTTTATTTGTTTGTTTTAGAATTTTTGTGCAATGCTAAACAATTCATGTTTTCTGTACACACCTGTCCTTAAGTTGGTAGGTAGTCAACAGCACCCACCACCAACTCTTGGACTACTCTTGTTTGGCCAAATAATGGGATGTGACTTCCACTCTTATGATGCACCCATACCCCCAAAGTGCAGAGTATATTAAGGGTCCACAGTTTGAGCACACTAACCACTAGGCCATATACAGTCAAGATTAAGTGAAATGAACAAAACATACATTTTCTGTTATAATAACAAGTTAAGTAATCCCCAAGTTCTTCAATTCCTACTTCACATTCATTGACACGATGACTCATGAAAATAATAAATGACAGACAAGATAAGCTTATAAGGACTGTCAGACCTACATTTAGTTTTACTAAAACAAGGTATTTATACAAAACTATAAAATAACACATCATACATAGTGTTACATCTCCGTTTGTTAATTGATTTTCCGTAACTTCTTTCCGATGAAACTTTAGCGACACAAGTCCTTACTTAATAAAACTGGTTATTTCTTTCCAAATACAACTTTACGATACACTTATTTTCAACAGTCGCTCTATAACAAACGCTATATCAACATACG